GAGGAGTTGTGATGATGAGGAGAAATAGTAGAGGTGGTAGTTATAGAAGGGCCACGTAATTTGGAAGCAGCCGAGATACCCTGCGACTCTTCCCAAGCATGAAAAAGAACATTCCGACATAGCCAAATTTCACCATATAATTTGACTTGGAAGTCATTAAGAAGGGGAGAAATAGTCTTGTATATAACAGAGAGAGAGAAGTGTTGATTCAAAAATGCCGTTAAATGTGCAGGCAACAATCCTCGAGTAAGCCAAAGACAGGATGAAGAAGGAGCTTCATAGTTCCAACATTCCAAAGCAAAAAATTCGGTTTGAAAAGAAATATCCAAAGATTTCAAGGATAGGAAGGAAGATAAACAAGAATCTCTAAATTTAATGACTTCAGACCGGTGTGTTAAACAAGGATTTAATTCCGGTAAAATATAAGGACAAGTCCAAAGATGATTCAAATCTTCTGGAGCAGAATTACACTGCGGACAAAGCCAGTCAGGAGAGTATAAGTAAGGTTTGCGTTGTTGAAGAGTAGTTAAGGTAGGCAACATATCCAATAGGAGTTTGATACGGAAGATCCAGAATTCCGGACGACCATTCTTATGCGAAGCAAAACCTTTAATTTGTGAAAGGCAAAAATATATACCAGCCCAATCAAAAAGTGAAGGAGAACCAAGAGCAGTAAAACGTGCCAATTAACAGAAAGATAAAAGAGCACGAGCGTCTGCTATAGAGCGAATAAAGTGACGAATATTCATGTCAACAGGTAAAGAGTTAAAAGTTAACAAGCATGGAGCATGACAAAATGCCAAAGGCGAAACAGAAGGTTGTATAGATGAATGAGCATCTTTTGCCAGAAAATCCGCTTGTACATTATAGACGTCATCGCCATGAGCAGGGACTTTAATCAAATCGACTTGGAGGTTACGATCCATGATAAGTTGTCGAATAGAAAACCAAAGAAGATGATTAGGTTCTCGAAGCAACTTCGGTGAGAAAGGAACATCAACAAAACGTGTCCATAGTGAAATTAACTGACTACAATCAGTATAGATAGAAATTGAAGAGTCACGAGAGAGGGCGTTCAATCCTAATAAAACAGCATAAATTTCAGAACGTAAAGCTGAAGGGAAACAAGAGGGAAGATGCATGGATGAAGATTCAAGGATAAATCCATCATCATCGAGAGCAATCCAAGCATAAGTCATGGAAGAGGATAAAGAATCTTTGGCAGGACGGAAAGAGCCATCGGTATACAAAGATTGCACAGAAGACGGCAAAACATCATCTTCTAAACTGTCCTTAACAGAAGGAGAAAGGGTGAAAGAAGCGGTTGAGGGCGGGTTCATCAAATGAACAATGGCCAAGGATGTGGCATAACTCCATGAAGTAGAAAGAGTAATGGGAAGGTAGGCCGCAAAAACTTTGGCATTTCTAGTAGGGTAGCCCACAGTTTCTGATAGGGTGACATTGAAAAAACACTTTTCGCTATTACAGCGTTGTTTGATAGCAGATTTCTTGGATAAGGCAGGAATGTTAAGAGCACAACCAGGACAAGGGTTATAGGATCGTTCATCAGCCGAGGTAGATACAGGAAGCCAATGTGACATAATAGCCGAGTTTTGTTTCTTGTAGGTGATACACACACGACCAACAGATAAAGTTTGAGTATCGAAATCAAAATTAATAGCCCATTGTGGGTAAAATTGATAATCTTTAACAGTATGATCTAATAAACAAGGTGAAGCTAAAGTAAAAGAAGAATTAATAAAATACAAAGGCAAAAACAAAGAAGAAGAAGAAGAAGAAAGAAAATTGTTTTTAATAAAATTAAACCAAGTAGGAATTCGTCCTTTACGACCAACGATACCAAGATAACGATGGTCAGGCCAATTCATAAGATAACGTCCACAAGGAGAAACCAATTGAGCGAGCACAAATATATTCAAATTTTTCCAAAGTTTCCAACTCAATTGAAAAATGGAATGAGGTAGAATAAAGCGCAGTGGCAGAGCAGGCTGTAGATCATGCCTCGGAGGTCGGAAGGAAAGAGACCACGTGATGTTCAATCGCGAAGAAAACAATAACGAATTAAACAAAGTGTGCGTTCGCAAAGAAACGATTTGTGACCATGGTTCTAAGTCGATAGTAGTCGGGCAACTTTCAGCACCCAAATATCCTTGAAGATAGGAGATAGCATAAAGGGCAAAATTTTTGAAATCAGGATGAGTGAAAATTTTTTGCCAAGATGCAATATGGGAAGAAAGAAAGCGATAGAAAGCATTTTGAATAGAAAAGGGAAGTTTGAGAAATAACAAAGGCAACGGAGTAGTCGCAGCTAGACCAGCTTTTCTTCGAAGTACCGAAAACATAGGCTTGACAATTGTTTGAATAGTACTTTCAGAGAAAAGGGTAGTTTGAAGACGAAATTCCAATCGCGGAAGAAGGACAGCATTATAAAGATAGGCCACATGCTGTGCTAATAATTTCTTCAGTCCCAGGAGAGCTGCCATATCTTTAACCATAGAGCGCGCTTGTCTGAGAACAAAATCAGAAGAAGCAGATAAAGAAAACCAAACTCCTAAAAAACGAAATGAAGTTGTAACAGATAAAAAAGAAAGAGAAAGGGAAGGAATGGGAACTAAAGGAGAAGGTGAAAGATCAAAAATAATCTTCGAGGAGGGGGAAGAGGATGAAAGAAGAACATATTTCGCTGAATTAGCTTAAACATTATTTAAAGTAT